TCTTCCAAACTGTGAAGCATGTGCTTTCCAAGTTTGTAAGCTTATAATAATAATTTCATAATTGTGAAGACAACTTAATTATGAACATGGATGTTGATTCATATAGAATTTTTAATTCTGGTTTTACCTTAGTATAACATGAAGCAGTTGAAAAGTAAGCCTACTTATGAAGTGAAGATGAACTGACTGAGAAGTAAGGCTAAATATACAGGACATTGTGATTCATATGCAATGAACATATAGAGAAGAAAATGAACATCAGAGGTAGAGAGTGTTTACATCTCCAGTAATTGAATCATACGCTAGAAAGAAATGCAACGCAATAGCATTTACTTACTGTTTTAGGCCTCAGAAATTTCTAGTATGTTGAATTACATTTATTTTGTGTTGATAACGATGGGTGTGCATGATTACAGATAATCATACAATATTGGCAGACAGTGTGGCTGTGTTCATAGCCAGCATTGGAGATGCACATTACTCTAAGTGTTCTATTGTGTTTCAGTTAACAGTAAGGTACCCAGCTGATGAAACAATGCATTCTAGTCCTTATCAGTAGCATTGTGAGAAATATATTTAGGTGGCTATATTCACTACCAGTTTGATTTTTGGTTTTTACCTAAAAAGGTGACTCACTTTGAGCAGAAGTTAATGTTAATAATTCATGAAATTACTTTAGCTAAAATGTGCAAGCTCACTAGAACATTAATAGGCTGAAGATAATAAATCACCTATACATAGGTGTGAAAGTAAAAAGTAAAAGTTACTTATGATGTATGAATAAAACTAGCTTGTATGCAAAATACTAAGTCAGTACAGGATAGTTGACTTCAATGACTGTAGTATTAATTTAGTAAAGGAACAATGAAGAAAAACCATACTTTCAAACATTCTCTTAATCTAATTTACAGTAGTACTTATTCCTGTGTTTTTCTTTGTTGTTGCTATATACATGACAAGTGTGAAGGCAATAAATGGAGATTAATCACTGGCCACTGCAAGAATTATGAGACTATTTGTTTATTCACCAGCTGAACAGGAATTAACATAAGCGATACTCTATATATATAGTGTATATTACTGTGCAGTAATCTTATTTTATAATTTAACATTCAGTTGACACTTATGCTATGTGTTTCTTGCATCACCCAAATGGGTTCTCTTTTAAGAGTGCTGTTTCTCACAGTAATTGATAAACCTGTGGCTTAGATCACAAGGAGCACAGCAACTGTATGTCAGTGTACATATGCAGGTGGCAGAAGTTAATCCTATTTGTTTAGTGTAGAAGTCTGTACATATTCTGCAATAGCTTTTAGGTCTAATGTGAAATTCTCATAGTTGGCTTAATCTTAGTGATTCTGAGGAAACATCACAATGCCGTTAATTCTAAATTTGACTAGTTTGTTCTATGTTAAACTTGGACTCTGGACCTAAAATAGAAGTGCTGACCCTCTCTCCTATTGTTTTTGCTTGGGATGTGTGTGTGTTTAGTTATAGCAAAGCCACATTGGACTGTCCACTGATTTCAGTGTTATCAATTCGAGGATATACTGCTGTCCCACTGGGAAACTTGCTTTGTAAAATGGCAGGTAACATTGTACTGGCCACTTTCTTTCTGACCACTAACATCATGTAATTTATTTTGTTTTGTGCACCTGAAATCCTATTTCCTTGCTACTACCAAGTGTGGATTTTTTGAAAAAAGTTTCTTCTCCAAGAAACAAAATGCTGGAAAATCTGCTTGTCTTTTTTTAAAAATATACTTTCTCCCTCTCTGTTACACAAAAAAATATAACTTATAAGATTTTACTTTTATTCAAAAGTGAACACAAACAAAACAATGCTATTGACAACTCAGTTTCATTGGGAATGTCGTATACTACATTTTAAATCTAGGCTCTTCATATATTGTTCATGTACTTTAGGGTTTTTAACATTTAGTCAACAGAATTTTACAATTCAGTATGTAGAATACCTCACACCTTTATATTATGATTTCTAAGTCAGTTCATTAATGCTGCCACAAACAAAAATAGTGTTTAATGTATACAGAGGATTGAGTACATTATATTAAATTGATTTTGAATATGTTAATCAGTAAGTCCTGTGACAGTCATGTTGATATAAAGCTGTGGTGGAATGGCAAGTATTGCAACTAAACTTTGACATTATTTGGTCTTTTGTTGGTAGAGTTCTGTCACCAAAAATGTATTGCTTTTGGGAAGGGTATGTGACAGTCCTTTCTGATGCAAAATATTTATACACTCAGATGATAATGATATATTCGGATCAAGGATTTAGAATTCCTAATACTGAATAATGTTGGAAAACAAAGAAATATGGATCAACTTGGAGCATCAACATTATCTACAAAGATACCTGTAACAAGTCATACCTTGGGCGTTATAAACAAAATGTGTTAATCCATACAAAAACATATGGGTCAAATCACCAGATGCAGCATGTATAAGTTTCTGTGAAATCGGACTGTTAAAATGGGCACTGGGAAACTGTTATTTTCATACCTTAGAGTGGTGTGCTTTGGACATGACAATCTTATGTTGGAACCGTTTACAGAGGAAATTATGCTACAGGACTATTGTCAAGAAGCACAGCCGTCAGACAGATAACAGACTGGCTATGGCAAGATAATAGACTGTAATGAAGTGATGTTCCAATATAGTTTTAAGGTATTCAGCTTCTGTATATTTAAAATAGATTAAAGCTTTTATGATTTTTCATTGTGTTATATATTCTTTACAAAGCCTGTAGTTAAACTTTACTGGGCTCCAATTCTAGACAAAAGCATTGTAATAATATTGTTTTAATTTGAATACATTTATTACTCTGTCAACTCTACTGTAGAGTTGGGGACCTTGTGCTTACACTTTTCATTATCAAATGTATGGATGCTGACAATCTTTTACTTACAAAATCTATCAATGTGAACTAGCCCAGTAGTCATTTTGATGGACTGTGGATCCATGGGTTCATTATAAGTGTGGTATTCAATTCTCATTATTTTATTAGAGTACCCAACAAATTGGCAGTGAGTGTGTTGACTAGTTGAGTTCCCTTATAATGTACAACCTCAAAATTAGCACAAATAGCCCTAAAGTAGTTTTAAACAAAATTCCATAAACAACAACAGATGCTACGTTAATCTCATAGTTGCACTGATATAACAATAAGGATGAGATGCTCAGGGAACCAAGCAGCAGCTCAGCTTCTCAACTTTTCCATAAGTCATCTAAAGTTGTTCTGGCAAGTGATTTCTTCCTTTGGTGGTCCAGGTACCTCTGCTTCATAGCTAGTAGGGCATCAAAGTCCAAGCTGTTGGTGAAGTAGAGATCCAAATGAATTTAACGTGCTTTTCATAGAGGTACCTTGAATGAAAAAATAAGACATGATTATGGTTTTAAGAATCCAGACCTTGTGTGCAATGAATTGCCTGGTGAAAAAAACAATAACACATGAATTGTCTAGCTTTTTTCAAAAACTCTTGGACAAGTAGATGTCCAGTAGGACACAAACAATGAACACAATTACAATGCCATCAACTAAAACAATGAAAACAGAGAATCTACAATAATAAGAATATTCTAACAGAAACTCCAGAGTAGCATCAGGACTTTACAGAACCAGAGAAGGACAGGCTATGCAAAGACCTGAGCTGAACAAAAGTTATCCTTCAGGATATCAGAAAAAAAATATATATATTTAATGGCTGCTCTGGAGGATCTACTTTCTACTTGGCTTCACAAAGTAATTGTTCATTTGTAATCTTTGTCTTTCATGCATGTATTAAAGATATACACACAAACACCATTATTCTTACATTGTAAAGGTCAAGTTTGGAACATTTAGTGTGTTTGCTTCTTTTTGTTTGTTTAACTCCATACAATTATTATGCAACTATATAAATCATGGTTGTATAAGTATTTGTTTTATTATAATTATTTGACCTTATTTTTGTATTACTAGTGCTAAAGAGTTGATTAAATTGTCTACCATGTAATTTCGGGGTTGAAGTTACACTTATGTTTTGTTTGTGTTAAACCTTATATACAATGAAGAGAATTTCCAGCACTGTGTAATGTATGGAATCTTTAATTTTATTTTTTATTGTCACTTAACTCTGAAATGTGTCATGTGATATTGCTGTGCTAAAGCTTATTGGACTATATGTATTCCTTCAGTTTAAGCAGCTAGAAGTTTACATGTAAGTTATATTGAGGCCAGTATTACCCTGTGTGTGAGATATAGTGTGTGTTTTTGTTATTTTCAAACATACTTGTCTTGATATTGAAAAAGCAAAGTTACATTGTTAACTACTACCATTTGCCTGTTGTTAAATCATTGCTGTGCACATGTATGTCATTATCAGCTTTCAGTTTCATAGCTTTAACATGAATACATACATTCATATTTGACTATGAATAGCTTTTGTCTTTTTAATTCAACTTTTTTTTACATCATTATTTATTTCGGTCTGTAGTTATTGTAACCTGTTTGTAACATCAATAAATAGTTATTTTTTCTTTGACTTCACTGAATCTGGTCTTTGTCATTTAAATGGCCAAAAATTGCTACACTTGTCCTTCTGCATACTAGGTCTTCATATCTCTCATTTCATGTAATCAGATAAAAAATTTTCTTTCATTCCAGGTCAAGCTAAAATTGTTATTTTTTTTAGGCCGCCTTACAATCAAAAACTTTTTTTTTTGCCAGTATTCATTTCAATGTATGCCTTATCTAGCATATTGAGATAATCATTAATTTATGAGGAAACAATAAAATATAACTTTATGATATAATCTTAATAGCATTGAAATGACTTTTCTACATTCTCTTAAAGTGGATTATCTAAGTCATGTTGTTAAAAAAAATTATAAATGCATTTATGTATAATTTGAATGAATAATAGCCATACATTTAGGAGAATTTCTTAAAATGTGGGGAAAAAAAATCATGTTATTGTCATAATTTTTTTTTTTAAGGTTCTAAATGAAGCAGTGGGTGCCCTCATGTGGCATACTATCACACTTGCAAAAGAAGATCTTGAAAAATTCAAAGCCTTACGTATTATAGTTCGCATAGGTTCTGGGGTAGATAACGTTGACATCAAAGCAGCAGGAGAACTAGGTAGGTGGGTGAAGTTAACATGCAAATCAAAATATTAATTTTTATCAACTATTTGTCAGTAACTTATTATCCACACAGAATATTAGTGAACATTCAGGATTTTAGAGTTTAGAAAGTTTGCAGTGTTAAAACTGCATAAGCTAACAAGGTGGAAAGTTCTGGTAACTCATAATCAGTTACTTTTATCTTAAGGCAACTTGAACAAAAATAAATACATACCAGATATTCAACTCTGCTTTGCAAAATGTGAAAAACATGTTTGCATTATGTAATTCATATACTCTATGGTATATGTTTCTTGAGGCAAAATTTAGTGTTCTGTGAATCAAATGTACTGCTAACTTTGGGGTCACCAATTTATTTACATAACTTCACCATTAAAGCCAATATCAGCATGAAATTTAGCACACTTGTTGATATTACATTCTTCCATAGCTTGAAGTTCTTAAAATTTAAAAGTCTTTACCAATTGTCTTGTTATGAGTCTAATTACCACTAACAAAGGCATTAATTAAGATTAATTTCCCATAGCTCATTAACATTGAAGAAAATTAGCAAAGTTTTTAATTTAAGCTATGAGGATGTTCACAAAAGAGCATGTGTATCACATTTTATCATTTATCATAAGTAAAGTTGTGGTGTTAAAACAGTTTTATTATGTATTTCTTTATTCTTGCCACAATAATTACACATGAAATATATAACTGAAAGTGCAATTTCAAATATTGCAACATCACAATTTTGTTTTCTGCTCACCATGAAGGTTATAAGAAGTGTTTAACTGCATTTTCTCAGCATGTAAATTTCCCCAGTGTTAAGGGTCAGTGCTACCTTAAGGTGATGTTGGAGAGGCCTCTCTAATGTTGGAAATAGATGTTACTAATACTGAAAGAAGTATTAAATAATATTCATAAACTTTCAAGAGGTAACTCAGCACAATAATAAAATAGAAGTAACTTAATGTTAAGTGTGTTTGAGAAAAAACTTGCACACCATGCAACAAATATTTCTTTAGTCTTAATAAAATCCATTGGTTATTTACATGTACCTTATTATTTGACTTTGCAGGAATGCTTTACATTATTTAATGTGGCTGTTTTTTGTATCATCTTTGTCTTCACATGGTTAAGTAGACTATTGTAATAAGAAAATAACTTAATTTCTTTAAAATGGAACTTGTGTCATTCACTTTTCTGTCACCAAGTTTTAGATAACACAATTTATATATTGACATTTCATACACTTTCAGCTCCTTTTTTACAAGAAATAAAATTTATTTCATTATTATTTGAACTTGGTACATTTTGTACTTTTAAAATTTCTTATTTTTGAGTACTTTAAAAAGATTTTTAAAGTTTTTATATACATTTTCATTGGGGTATTTTTCTCAATTCTAGGCATAGCAGTGTGTAATGTGCCTGGCTATGGAGTAGAGGAAGTTGCTGATGCTACGTTGTGCCTCATACTAAGCCTTTATAGACGGACGTATTGGCTGGCCAACTTAGTAAAAGAGGGCAAAAAGTTTCAAGGTCCAGAACAGGTTCGAGAGGCAGCTCAAGGATGCGCTCGAATCAGGGGAGACACTCTGGGTATTGTGGGATTAGGTATGAGTCTAAGACGGAGACTTCCAATCCTTTGTTAGAAATTAATTTAGAAATGTTTACTTAAATATTTCACACAAAGGTATATTCATTTTCTTTTAACTGTAAATATACTTTTTACAAATTCAGCTCTTTGTAATAAGAAATGATAATTATCTTGTGTATTTAATCAAATGTGATACTTGTAAAATTCATTATTTTTCATTGTTTTAAAGATTTTTATATAGTTCTCACCAAGTTTTAAAAATGGTGACAACTCGTGCCTGCAGTCTAGAAACAAAGTGGATTATTAAATTATTTTATTACCAAAGGTACCAAAATATAAATATATACTAGATGTGCAACTTGTTCAACTGAAGGTGTTCTTGAGTGCATCTTGAAAATTATTAGTTTCATAAGTGAAATTACTTAACTACTCTGAGAGTCAATACAAAAAATAGATGAATCTTATGATGATCACTTCAACCTATTTTAAATACATGTGTATGCAACTTTTTAGGTGTTAATTCTTAACTTTGATACCACAATCTTAACATGTATGTTTTCATACATAATTTTATTTCTCCCTGGTACTACGAAACATTATAGAGGTTATATATAGATTCTGAACGTACATGTGATGTATTGATGAAGTTGTACCTGATTTTTAACAATCTTATCAAGGTGCACAGCCTTTGTATTCATATCAAGCAAAATTGGATTTTGTTCAATTGTGGTAAGGTTATAGAAAACACTTAGATTATAATTACTCTTATTGTTTTATGACTATTTATGTCAAACTATTGTGAATATAAAATTTTGGGCATTGATTCCCTTTTCTGTCAAAAAATGTTAATAGTGTGTTACCGTTTCCGAGATTCATTGAAAGAAATTCAATCACTTGTATTTTTACAGGCCGAATTGGGACTGCAGTAGCCTTAAGAGCCAAAGTTTTTGGATTTAATGTCACTTTTTATGACCCATACCTTCCTGATGGCATAGAACGATCGTATGGTTTAAGTAGGGTTTACACACTACAGGACCTCCTGTTTCAAAGTGATTGTGTCACACTCCACTGTACTCTGAATGAACACAACCACCATCTGATTAATGAGTACACCATAAAGCAAATGAGGCCAGGTAATTTTGAGTCATGTGACATACTTTTATCAAACCAGATTATTGAATCTTAAGCTTTCTTTAAGAAATAAAATTCAAGATATTAAATATATACAGTACAAGAGTAAGTTTCTAAAAATAAATTGAAATATGTAATGACTATAAATAAAAGGAAAATATTGATTTCTTTGAACCAGAAAAAGTTACATTAATGTGCCATGAACGTATTTAAGAAAAGGCTACATACAGGCAGAAGAATGTTAAGTTATAAAAAGGAAGAAAGTAGAAACATTGTAGGATTGATTGTTTATAACCTATATCAGTATGCAAAATACACCCCCCCCCCCAAAAAAAAAGACTAACAAATATCACACACTGGTTATTTATGCACCTAGTTGGTTGATCTTGGTTTTATTCAGTATTTAACCTGCCATACATTTAAAGGAAACTAAAACAACAACAACGAAAAAAAACCACAAAAACCATGGCTGCAAAAATCCTTAAACTTTTTTATTATCTCTAATGATGTAGAAATTTTCAGAAAGCATATTATGAAAATATATTTAGACTTTGGCAGACAGTAATAAAACATGGCTTAGCACATGCACCATCATTATCCATTACATAGTGTTGCCAAGTCTGTTATTTTTATTCCCACTTTGGTTATTTTGATTTATTAGTTGTTGATTCAACTTTTTGGTTAACTTGTTATTAATTTGAATTTAAAGATACAAATTTAGGTTTGCAGTTTAATACATGATATTTGTGCCATATCATATTTTGTTGTATGAGTGAAAACTTTTATTGTTGCAGTAAATTTTCTTTTAATGAGTTGGTAAACCTGTGTGAAAGTAGTTTTATCTTCCACAACAGAATCTTTGTAATAATAAGTATATTTTTATGAGCCAGATCTACATATTGAACATATTTTGAATTAATTTCAGTTGTTTGATTTCTCCAACCCTAGTACAGTTTGGATGAAAGGATTTTGAAAGTTTCTGAAAAAGTTACTTTAATACACAGTACAGTATAAATTTAAAGAAGTGGTATGAGAGACAAGTTTCATTGTAAATTAGAAATACAAACATTAACCCCTTACCTACGGAGCCCATTTTGTCTTATCGTGAGGGGAAAATCACATTTGTGAATTGAAAAAATTATAGAGAACTTTTCTTTCACTGGATTTCAGATTTTATTTTTGTAAGTAATAGCATAACATTCAATTATTTGTTCTAAATTGTATTATGTAATGAAGTTTGAAAAGAAATTTAATAAAAAAAACCCAAAATACATTTGAGACTCTTAAATAAACTAAGAATAGAATTTTTTTTTCCAACCCCTTTTTAAATTTTTTCCTTGCACCTTAGCATTGGTCCTGCCATCTATGATTGGTATTTAAACAATTTTCTGGTCTGTTTTCTTTATATGACAGCGTCTGGGCGTGGTAAACTTCAGTTGTTAAACTTGTAGCCAATTTCACGTTATTTCAATCATTGTATTTCACTTTTGACAAATCATAGGATGATAAGCAAAGCATGTGATAAAACTCTGTTCTCTGGATTTTAAAATATGAATATGTGTGGTGCTTAGTATAGTAACTGCTATTTTATGTTGGGATTGTATTTAATCTTGGTCAATAGTACTTTTTATAGGCCTTTGAAAATTTGCT